TCCAAAGAAACAACTCCTGAGATACAAGCCTCCATTTAATTGTGTTAGACGACTTGGATTTTGACAGGAAGAACCAAATTTCAGAAAATGAGACTTCAGACAATATCATTTAGCACTAAGGTCAGAGATCACTCTTTCAAAGCTTCTATTTCAAACATGGTGAAAATGATAACTTGGAACCAAGAATTATCCTTTTCAAGAAAAGCAAGATTCCAGAATCCTGCTAGGTCCCTAAGAGTTTACTTTCCAGGAAAGAATTACCCAAAACCTATCTAGCAGGATTATTGCACAGTGGGGCCCACAGGACAATGACTTCCAAGGGCTAGTCCTTACATTTAAAAAGGCCACAATACATACACCTATATAGTATGCCCCACCCTAACCAGACATGGGAAATACAAATCTGCATCTTGCTTAAAAGAAACTCCTGAGGAAAGAAAGGGAGAACTCTACAAAGGCCACTTGACTCAGAAACTGCTTGACTATTTCCACTGCCATGAAGGACACTTGCTGAACAGCCTGTGTCCCAAGCACCAAGATGAATGGTGATGGATATCACACTTCACTATTTACCTCTGATCATAGCTCAAACAAAATTTCTTCAGAAGGAAGAACTTCTTTGGGGTTGGGAGGATGATACTCATGTTTGAACTCAGGGCCTTGAGCATGCAAGGCAAAGGGCTATTATACCACTTGATCCACACACCAAGCCCTTGATCATTTTCCTAGGAAAGGTTGAGTTAAAAAAAAGGAGATCAGCTGTTGGTAATCAACCTATTAGCTGAACTTCCCTTTGTCATCAGTCATATAGTATTGAGGTGTTATTGGTGAGAGGCTAGCAAACCCAATCTCAAGCAAATTCCAGTGTTTATTTAGGCTATTATTTTTTACCCAGTCCTTGACATTTAAATGCAAATTTTTTTTTATCCCTGTTCCCTTTTAAATCTGGGTAGCACCACTTTTTCACTGTTAATTCCCCTATAATATACCCCACCCAATGTTAAGAAAGATTTTTAGCCATCCATCCACACAGCAGCCTGTGACCCCCATATAGGAGGAATTTTGAGCCCTCCCGATCACCCTATTAAAATATCAAACCCTGAGCACACAAAATAAAAACATAGGACTCTAGGAGTTATTGAATTATCTTCCATTTCCTGTTATAACTGGTAAATCATCATACACAGACACTGGGTATTAATTTCAAACACCAAACGATTGTTTAAGTTTCTAAACTGACAGTTTAACTGAGTCAATCAACTGTACCCTGTCAACAGCACACACACACAGCCAGTGTGGAAGTAGATCTGTTTCTAGCTGCATGGGTTGTAGGAGTTTTCATAATTTCTCATGCTTTTCAAAGCATTCACTCTCATTCTAAAATGGTATACTATACACAAAACCATTCATTTTATTCCAGAATACATCATCTTAATGAGAATAAAAAGCTTTTGTATGCACATAACTGCCAATACATTTAAAAAGGCCCAAATCTTAACAAGTAGAATAGACAAAAAAAATCATCAGACAAGAGATCATAAATTACTTTGGCCGGAAAAAAAAAAAATCTTAAAAAAAAAAAGTCTGGCTCAACATTCTGCTTGCAGGTTTCTACATATACTGTGTATGTGGTGAGTGTGTATGTGTGTATATAGAGCTTTGTTTGTGTAAGGGAATGAAGTACGGTCTAGCCCATTTCCCATAGTTATGTAGGAACTACAATGTTCTTTGCTAGCAAAACAAGAAGTGCAAGGTCTGCATTTCCACCAACTCGATGTAAAGCCCCAAGTGCTTCCTGCAAAGTAAAGCCTGCACGGAGAATCCGGTCAATATCTGCAGCAGGAAAGATGAATGGTGGAAGAGTGGAGGGACTTGATGGTGGCTGGCTGGAAGGTGGTTCCAATTCAAGAAATGACCTTGTAGCTTCAGGAGAGATGTTTTCTCCAGTTTCAGGCCTGGCTGTTGCTGGATTATGTCTACCCTGACCCAAGTCCTTAACCAGTATGAAACCGGAGGGCAAAGACTTACTTTGCTCAGAAGTCTGACTGAGTGCACCCCCCTCACCCCCTTCACCAGGGACAATACTTAAGGTGCAGTGTAATTGGTTAGATGATTTAGTTGAAGTTACAGTATCAGAATTCCTCTCGCTTATTGACCCCCTAGACCTGGGGACCCCCTCCTTGTCAGCTGACTGATCGCCACCTGGACCTCCAAAGCAAGTATTTTCTCCATCTTCTAAGCCTAAGTTTCCTGTCTTCACTGATAGGCCACCAGAACTGGCCTGGTGACAGGAGACTTGAGGACACTGGTCACAGTGGGTCAGATGCTCACACTGGATCCACTTTTCTGATAGATCCTCAATACTTGTTTGGCGCTCAGCTACTGTTTCTGATTGGCAGGTAGTTTCCTCAGATGCATTTTCTGAGGCTGGCTTACTACTGATGACCAAAAGTTCATGAAGTTCTTTCAAGGCTGCTGTTACAGATGAACAAGATTCTTCTGATTCCATGGAGGGCTGATAACTTAAAGAGGGGGAGTAATTGCCACATTCTTTATTTGTTCCAGACATTTCAACATTAATTCCAGCTGGCTGCAAATCCTGAGTGCAGATGGAATCACTGAAACTTTCTGAGGAGTCTTGTTTTGCTGGTTCTACTTCCATTGAAAGACTATCTGAGACAAGATCCGATACCTCAGTGTTCTTGATCCCGGTGCTCACATGGCCTGCTGAATCAAGCACAGTAGTTAGGGACTGTTCAACGACATCTACTTCCATCAGAATGTCTGCATCAGAGCAGCTAGAGCATCCTGCACCTGGAAGGACACTCTCTTGATGCCCAGCTTCTTTCATTGCAGCTTCCATATCAGCAAATTTGGGCTGGTCTTGTCTTTCCTCATGAAGCTCAAGGTCCCCCATGTCACAGAGGTGTCCTCTGTCCCATGGAGCTCTCTGCTGTGCCACCTCATGCTGTTCACTCCCTGGCTCGTGGTGCTGCTGAAGGCCATTCATTTGACTCAGGCTCTGATTTTCTGGGTGCCAATTCTTTTCACCTACAAATGTCAGTGATTCATGCATGGTAGTAGTTGTGACAGATAAACTAGCTTCCTGTCTTGTGTGGAGATAAAATTCGAGGCCCTGGGTGTTTTTTTCAGATTTCTGCAGAGTATCTGTAATGACTGCTTCTTCAGATAAATTATGCAAAGGCATAACTGGAGTCTGGTCTGCTGAGGGAGCGAGGTCAGGAAGATCCTGTGGAGAAAGAGTGTCTTTCTCTTTAGAATTCATGTGGAACTCAGCTGAAGCCTTCACAGCCTTCACAGCTGTAGTTTCAATGCTATCTGGGTCACTGGGCTTGATAGGGCAGACTGAAGCAGAGACAGAGCGAGCAAGACTCGGAGGACTATCAATCTCAGGACTCTGTCCCAAAGAATGAGCTGGATGGTTAAATCCATCTGAAGTTGGTAACGATGACATTCCCAGTGAGGTAGATTCTTTACCACTTTTTTCTGTTAACAAAATGGAAAGAAAGAGATTAATAAGCAGGTAATAAAGGCCATTATGTTACCAGAGGATACAAATCTAAACAGGAGATTCCAACTTGGGTTCTTAAAACTCAGGTTTCTCTTATTCATGTTGAGTTTGAAATATATACAAGTATCTTTGTGCTGGACAATTTTTTCCCCAGCACCGAGGACTGAATATAGGACCTCAAGCTTGTTAAGACAAAAGTTCTATAATAAACAACTTAAAATTATAGAAGCAGAGTAAGAAGTAGGCATATTCTTAATAAACTTGTTTATTGTAGTTCAATGTGACTGTTTAAGTAAGCCTTTACAGAATGGCTTTATAGTGATGGTACTCAGGACTGAAGGACACTTGGCTTGTGCATTGCTTTTGTTGTTCTTTTCAGACAGATGTCTCTGTGAATTCAGGCTGGCCTGGAACTCCAGATCCTCCTGCCTCATCCTCCTGAGTACTGGGACCAGTGACGCTACATAGGCATCTTTGTCTTCAATGAATCGAAAATTCAGGAATAGCTTCTTCAAGTGTGTTTATTCTACCACTTGCCCTAAGACACCTGAGATGCCTTGGTGAGCATGTGAGTTCTGAGGTGCCATCCTTGAAGCCAATTCAGAAGTTTGCATTTCCCATAAGCTCCTCAGGTATTCTCTCTCTCTCTCTTTTTTTTTTGCCAGTCCTGGACACTGCCCCTGATCTTCTTTTGCTCAAGGCTAGCACTCTACGATTTGCGTCACAGCAGCACTTTTTTGAACATATTGTAAACTCTGAGAATATTTGCAGCTGAGCAAGTCTCACAAAAGTGAGTGCTTCAGATGTGAACACTGCTTAATATATTCAGAAGTGACAGTTATAAAGAGAAAAAAATTTGGAGACTTGCAGAAGATAGAGAAGTAAACATTAAATTGTACCGCTACTCACACTTCCCAAGAAGTGTGGTCACACTATGTGATCATCTGAAGTCAGACAACGAAAGTAAAGCTGAAGATCAAAGCAATGCGATCACAGCCCCCTTCCTACCACATACTGTAGCGTCATGCTTTAAACTACAGGTCCAATGGCTGCTAACAAGGCCCATCACATTACACAATCAGGCTTAAGGGCAACTCAAATGTTATGATGTCCAAAGTAAGAGTTTGACCTTCACTTAAGAAGTCATGAAGTAATGCACCTATGATTTAAATGTCTTAAAATATTCCAGCCAGACACTGGTTAACAGCTCAAAATCAAGCACTGTGAGAAAGTCCTCAACTTTTTAGGAAATAGTGTTATCTTACAATTTAGTGGTAAAAAGGGAAATAGCACTTGTTTCAGTTTAAACAATACCCACCTGGATCTAGAAAGGTATTAGGTATTAGTTTATCACTCTAATTGATAGGTTAACTCTGTAACTTTGAACTGCTGTTAACAGAAAACAGCACTGTGGCCCAGGCATGCCAGTCACAGACAAGCATGTATGTAATGTGTGTGTGGCACAGCCGGTAGACTCTGTACTCACTACGAGAGCAGTGTGCAGTCCTCCTGAGGCTGAGACAGCCAGGTCCACTGGCCCCACTCTAACTGTAGGAGAGGACTGGGTCAGTACTATAGGATGATTAGGAGAAGAGGAGGAAATGGGTATTAAGATTAAATTGTGCCTACTTTTAACCTGTTACAGGGAGGTGGAGGTGGGAGGAGAAAAGGGAAAAGGAAAAGGAAAAGGAAGAGGGAGGAAAAGGGAGGGAGAGATGAAGGGAGAGGGGGAGAAAGTGAGAGAGGGAAAGGAACAGAGAGGAAAGGCTACAAATTATAACCAGTCTCCAAACCCAAGTTCTCAGTTCATTGAAAGATCACCTTTCTTCCTCCTAATTTCTCATGCTGACACACTGATCTTACTTATTGACATCATAGGTTAATGGGAAAATAAAAAGTCTCATCTACTTTGTACCCTGAATTACTTTAGAGGCATGGTCTTGCTATGTAGTCCAGGCCAGCCTTTAACTTTCTTACAATGCTAGGGACTGAACTCAGAGCTTTGCCAGACAAGTTCTCTACCACTGGGCTACATCCTCAGAACTGGTCTTTAACTCTTTTTTTTTTTTTTTGCTTATGTGGTGCTGAGGAATTGAACCCAGGGCCTCATGCATGCAAGGCAAGCGCTCTACCACTGAGCCACCTTCCCAGCCCCTGGTCTTTAACTCTTGATTCCTCTACCTTAGCACCTACAGTGCTGGGATTGTAGTAGTGTATTACCATACTGGGCCTGCCTATGTAAGTGACTCTGTTATCCTGGGCAAGGCATCAGGCTTAAGTTTCCACTTCAAAAGAATGAAAATTTCTGCCCTTTAATTCCAGGTAGTCATGTGCAATGTTATGAAAAAAGAGCTTTCTGCTTTCCAGAGGCAAGGGACTCATGGAATCCATAAAAGCATAGTCGTCATTGAACAGGTGCTGTGACACCAACACCCTTGCTATGCTACTCACAACAGTGAGATGTAGAAGTTGTACAAAGGACACCTCCCTCCCACTATTCTAGTAACAACAACAACAACAAAAATTTAAAAAGCAATTTATGCTTATGTATGCATACATGCCAACATACATTCAAACATATGTGCAAGGCTAGTTGTAACCAGATTGAACAGTAGAGACTAACTTCCAAAATGCTCCAGCTAGACTTTGAAATCACAGGTGACAAATGGGATGGTGTCTATAAATACCTGGTCTGGGGCCCACTCCAGCTGCAGCACACACACACTACATGCATCATGGCTTCGGACGCTCTGTTTGGGTTAGGAAACAGACAAGCAAACTCGGGTTAACAATGCAAACCACACAGCATGCAGGGTTATAGTCTTCACTCCTTCGCCAGGAACCACAAAGTCAATGCTGGGACGCATCTAACCTTTGGAAACCCAAAGATGTGCTGTTGCTTCAATTCTCTCACCATATGTAAAACAATGTGTCTGTCAGCTCCAACAGCCTCCCCACTCCCCACCATTCAGGACTTCACAAATGCAGGCTGGTCTTTCACTCCAGCCCATAAAGATCTTGGAATTACAGATGTGCACATCCATACTCAATTCTAGTTTGATATTGAATTTGGAAAGAAATTAACTTCAACACACTATACATATAATTTATAAGCAAAAACATAGGACAGGAAAAAAGTCAATCTGTCAAAACTGTGAAAAAAGAAATCTCATAAAGGTTAATAAACATGTGTAACAATCACTTCCTAATTTTCTCAGTTGAGATTCACTGTTGTTTTTTTTATAAAACATTCTCTCCACTGAGCTTTCAACTCTGATTCCCTTGTTTGTGATTCTCCAGTGCTGTGATTATATTCTTTTTTTTTTTGGGGGGGGGGTCCG